TTGATTTGTTGTTGTGTTTCTTCTGTCCTTCCTTCAGTGTGAAGGTTTGAAAGGTGAGCTGGCCGAGCTTCAGCAGCTGTATGACTGCAGCCAGCGGGAGCGAGCGGCACTTGAACAGGAGCTGCAGCGCTGCAAGGCTGAGCTGCAAAAACTGGTGGGCAGGAAGTCACAGGTGAGAGGTCACAGGTAAAAGCCTCAGGTGCTTAGTGAAGTTGGGTATGTTACAATGTTAAAATGTTTCAGTACTGATAGATTATTTGGTCTCAAGTAACCATGCCTGACAGAGATTAGGGTTAAAACTCCCTCCCTCTGGAGAGGAAAGGGAGAGGTTTAGATTAACATAGCAGAACATTTTCAGGTAAGTGTTTAGAGAAAAAAAATCTGGTCCGTGCTCTGTCACATGACGCCTCTCTGTCTGTACTGTGTGCATGTTGGCCGGTAACAGCTAAGCCCAAACGCTCTCTGGATCATTTTGCTTTCAGCTCTGCTCGTGGCCGGTTTCTGACAGTTTTTCTGTGAGCTTCTAAATGTCTGTCGCTTCAGGGCACGTTGTCTTTTGTCTGGTCTTTCGCCTATATCGCACAGCCCTTGAAAATGAATTTCATACAAAAACAAAGAACACGGACATTTACAGCTCATCTGATATGGAACATCTCCTGCAAGACAGACCAGTCCAAACAGTTTGGGACTCTTTACTTTAACATCAGTAAATCAATTCTTCCCGGAGACTCCAAAACTTGAACAAATAAATTCCCCAGTTAGGTGACTCAGTATTGATCAACTGTCAATTTTTCACACCTTATGACTCAAATTGACTTGAGGGTTCACTAGGTAGGATGTGAAATTCAACTGATTTTCATTTTTCATAATGTCAAATGGATTAAAGAGATTGGAAACTTTAACAATCAGATGACCCCCCCACCCCAAGGAGCAGCATTTGGTGTCAGTGAGGAGCAAAACTCCCGTCTAACAGGAAAAAACCTCCAGCCTAACCAGGATCAGGGAGGGGCAAGCCATCTAGTCTGATATAGTTCCACATAAGAGGGGCCTTAAAGATGAAGGCTCTGCCTCCCATTCTACTTTTAAATACTCTAGGAACCACAAGTAAGCCTGCAGTGTGAGAACAAAGTGCTCTAATGTGGTGATATGGTACTATGAGGTTATTAATATGACATGGGGCCTGATTATTTAAGAGCTTAAATGTGAAGAGCAGGATTTAAAATTCTGGATTCTTAACAGGGAGCAAATGAAGAGAGGCCACCTGTCAGTACTGTTGCTGCAGCATTTGGGTTCAACTGAAAGATTTTCAGGAAGTTCTTAGGGCATACAAATAACAAATTGCAGCAGTTCAACCTAGAAGTAATAAATACAATAACTAGCTTTTAGCGTCACTCTGAGACAGGATATTTCTAATTTTAGAGATATTGCAGAAATGGAAGACAGCAGTCCCACATATCTATTTAATATGTGCATTGAAGGACATATCCTGGTCAAAAATGACTCCATGATTTCTCACAGTGTTACTGGAGGTCAAGTTTATGCCAACCAGAGTAAGAATCTGGTTATATGCCATTTTTCTAAGGTTTTCAGGGCAGAGTACACTAACCTCAGTTTTATCTAAATCTACAACCATTAAATTAGTGGTTATCCAGGCTTTTATATTTTTAAGACATTAATGTAGTTTTACTAATTGTTCTTTCTTATCTAGTTTCATGGACAGTTAAACTGGTATGGATTTTTGCATAGCTGTGAAAATCATAATCCTTTGTCCAAGTCAGCACTCAAGACCTGCTGTTTGACTTCACCCTTATCTGGATCTCCAGCCATGCTTTCAACACTCCTACTTGTAATTTGAAATGTAAACTGTAAAATTAAAAACTAAAACTACACAGAGTTTGGTTTTCTAAGACTTGCTGAGGAACTTTCCTGACTTGAGCATTTGCATTCACTAGTGCTGACATGAGGTTTGACTCAGAACTTGTTGTGGCACTTGCCTTTCTTTTCTTTGGACTTTGTAAACAGTGACCTGGTCCCCAATCCACTCCTCTTCATCAGATAATTCATTCAATTTCTTATCCACCATGCAGCACTGCAGGGGTGTCATTATTTTGATAGTAGCAGCCTTTAACATTGACATTAGTTCCTCCTTCCCTTGGCAAAAATTAAATGGGATTTTTTCACAGGCCTCCAGAAAATATCACTTTGTGAAATATAAACATTTTAGGATGAATTTAGGATATTTCCACCGAGTGAGATATAAACTCACTTGTGAGAATACTAACGCTAGGCTAACAAACTTGTTAGGAAACACATCAACTTTTAAGATGGCTCTCTACAGCCAAAGCTGACCTGGTAGTTCTTACCCAAAAGCTCCTGCAGGGCTGCTGATGCTTCAGATTTGATCTCCAAAAGTCTTGAAATGACAAGATGCTGATGTTTTAATGTTAAAGACTTCAAACAAAACAAAACAAAAAAAAACCTCACCATCTTGTCTTTAATTTTTCAGTTTCCTCACTTCATTTCCATTTTTTTGTCTGATTGCCGTCTCTTCTGTTTCACATGAAATTTACACGAGAAACTGAAAAATTCTCTGAAAATTTGATGAGTTTTCATGATCGACCTGCCTGCCTATCAGTCATTTCACATCAGATCACTCGTTTTCGTTTGCTCCCTGCTTGCCGTTCGCCCTCACGTCCTCTGACTTTATTATTCTGATTATTTTATTTTCTCCTCTCTCCATACTCCCCACACTCCTACCTTCTGTCTTCTTCCCAGAACTGCACTCGCCAGTCTGAGCCCCCTGTTCTCTCCATCCCCTTCATAGGAATGATTGTAATAGTGGCCTTGATTTGGTGCTGGTGGGAGGAACTGGCGTCTTAGATGGGACCAGGTATGGCCATGACCTTCTTTCTCTACCAGGCGCTTTCAAGGAAAACTGCCACTGCATTTGTTTCCACAAATGAAGAAACAATTGCTTCAGATGAACCCCTCTGTCATTTAAAGAATTTAAAAGTGGAAACCTCTGCCACCATGACTTCCCAATCTCTGTTCAAATCCAGGTTTTACTTGTTTGTTTGAACCGTAGTGGTACATCAGTCGTGCCGGGTGTTCCATCCTCCATCAGCCATGATTTTACATGCTCATGTCCCGACTGATTTAATGCTGGGCTCAGTTTGTTTTGTCAGGTTGCTTGAGTTTCTGTGAAGCAAATCAAATATGAAGGAAGGTTGGTGGTTCAATCCGCGTCTGCTTTCTGTATGCCAAATATCTTTGGGCAACATACTAACCCCAAGTTGCTCTCAGATGCCTCCATCATCTGTGTTAATGTTAGATAGAAAACACTTGCATAGAAAGAAGCGCTTGTGCGAATGGGTGTGAATGTATGAATGAGCCAAGTTGTGCAAAGTTAGCTCATAGTAGAAAAGCACTATATAAGAACCGGTCCATTTACCATCTGTCCATCAAAGAGCCCATAATAATGTAATCTTTACACTTTAATTCTTAGATTAATGTCAGAATTCCGAGAAAAAAGTCAGAATTCTTACTTTTTTCTCGGAATTCTGGAAAACAAGAAAGAAAAAGATGTTCCCACTCTTTTTTTCCCCAGTGGCCCTAATCCTCTTCCATACTTTTATCTTTTATATCTTTTTAAAGAAAATCTATTTCTTTATTTATCTTTTTTGTATTTTCTTTATCACCGAGGGCACCACTGTAATTTTTATTATGTTCTAGCAACATAATGCCAGTAAAGAAAATCTTGAATCAGAAGAGTCTTTGCTTGTGACACAGCACGGACTTTTTCTGTAAGATTAAATATTTTCAGTTTATGTATGATTGCATCTTAGCATTGACTCTGTTTGTAATTGTGAGGCACAAAAAACGTCCTTCACCTTTCGCCTAAACACAGCCATACAGAGGTAGTTAGAAAAATACTGAATGACCTGCCACTCACTCTTCATTTGTGACCAGTACGAATGGATTCGCAGAACATCTAAAAGTTCCCAAACATCTTAAAGGCTCCACACTAAAACTTCGCTTATCGTCATATTCAGTATTTTTTGTTGTCAATTTGTGTGGGTTCTTTGCATATGTGTTTAGAATATGCAGAGGTTGAAGAGGCTCTGCTTCAGGGGCCACCTGATTTCTTCACCCCTCTGGACCAGATCCTACAAGCACATTCAAAATGTGGTGGGAGGTCAGAATGTAGTGCTCTTTTATAAAAAGCATTGTCCCCTTTTTTATAGACATTTCCATTATTTGGTGCATCCAAATGGAAAAGAACTGCAAAGTCAAAATAAAGTTTCAAACTCCATTTAAAGTTTCCAAAATATCCAGCATGTGGCTAAAACCTAATGTGCTTATAAATTAATTTTATTCTAACCTGTCTTGTCGTCTCCCGGCAGCGCGACTGTGAAGGCTGGAACCTGGCAGTGGTGGCAGTCGCCGTGGCAGCCATTGCTGTTCTGGTTGTCCCTAGTTTCACCAGGGCTTGAGGAGTACACAGGAAGCGACCTCACGGTGAACTGTAGGATTGTGGGATTGCCATCATCCATCCAGTGCTGCCCTCATACATGTGACCATCCTGATGTCTGCTTGTTGCATCTCCACGACTCTTTGACCAAACGCCACAGACGTCAGTGAGTGCTGGAGGGGAAAGCAATAGGAATTCCCGACATCGTCTACTATGATTCTTTACTCTTCCTGCAGGTCAGCTCTGCGCAGATGGTCAAGCGGTTGATTTATTGAGTACTCACCATCACAGTTCAAGAGTTGAACAGAATATCTCATTTTGTTGTATCTTCCAGAAGTACCAGAAGTAGCTTGTCATGAGGTTCGTGAAGACAATGGACTAAGTTTCACTTTCGTGTTAGTGGATGCTACATATAAAAAAAAATGTCTCTACATTCAGTGTTAAAATGGAAAATATAAACTCATGGGGTGAAATGATCTAATTAACTTACTGATAAAACATGCTTACTTACTTGAATAGTTTTGGTGATTATTCATTAAAATGAGATTTGATCAAACAGCAGTCCAAAACAAAAGGCTCATTAATTTAAAGGCAACACTCTGAAAAAGTAGCACATTTTTACTTTAAAAATGACTTGAGTTATTATATTTTCCTTCAGCTTTAAAATTATTTGCCTTATTTCTGTCCTGGTGAGTTTAAGGAGTACTTTGCACTTACTGATAAAGGAGAAAACAGTAGCAGATAAAACTTGATTGTTTAGCGCTTCAAATACTGCCTTCCTTCCTTCTTAATGTTATACATCATCTGATCATGTATTTGTCAGAAACTTAACGCTGATTAACTTTAATCAGTGTTAAGTTTCAGCAGGTCTGGTTTGTAGCATGAAACACTGGGATTAGCTTTATTTTACCTTCCTCACTTCTTATAAATCCGTTTACATGTCTGGATTTCTGTTTTTCAAATGTGTAGTATGACTATCTATAAAAGTAAAATAGCACTTTAAAAAAATATATTTCCTAAAGCTCATTTCTAAAGAGAGATAATTTCTGTGGACTGATTACACTGTGTTTAAATTCAGAGTTGTTTTTATTTTGCACAGTTAGGTGTAGCAGATGGTTTTCATTGATTTATTTATTAATTTATTTTTGAACAGACACTTTCCTCCTTCTCTGAAATAATGCTAAGGGGATTTTTTTGTTGTTCATTTTTAGCATGTTGTAGAAAATGTGATTAAAATCAAAACACAGCAAATGCTGGTGTTACTTAACATGCAAATTTTAGATTTGTGTATGCAGATGACACTTTTCTTTATTTTTACGAAGAGCAGAGTTTGATCAAAACGTAATGAACTGAAAACTATAATGATTAAACAGCAAATTACTTTTTTACTAAAAAAGTCCAAATTTTATGCATGCAGATGATACATTATTTTACATCTAACAGTTGAGCACAATGCAGCAAAATGAATTTCATGAAAATTTGATTAATTGAAAAATGATAGAAGTTAAGCTCATATACAGTCCTAATCAAATAAGGGCACTGGGCAATATCTATTTACAAATAATAATGGAGGAGGACCAGAAATGATGTCATGTAGTGGAACACCTTTTACTGAATTCAAAATGACAGTGATAAGGACACAAAGTTTTATTTAGATTCCAACAGCGAATATTGTTTTGTTTATTTTTTTTCTTCTGTAGAAAATAAAAACTGGGATGGATCTTGTCTGAAAGGGGCGGCAAAAATTCAGCATTTAATGTAAAACCCCAAAGAGAAGTCTGCATCTGCATTTTGGTTGATCAAACTTCTCAGATGCCTCAGATCATCCTTCTGAATAAACACGTTTTTTTTCTGTAAGCTTTTGAATTTTTTTTACTGTGGGAGATACCCAAATACATCTCTTTTTTGCTTTTGCACACATTTAAAACTTTATGGTTCCTACGTTATGTTTACATTTAAATAGAGACCAAATAATCCTAGAAAATAAGAATAAGCTGTTCAGATGACTGTGATCCCTTTCAGGGTGGAACAAGGTACTTCTGTCAAACTTGTTTCAGTAAGATAACAACTAGCTCAGACATTCCAGTTTCTTTACAACATATGGCACTGCAAATGAAGATCGAACTGTGACACGTGTACTTGACTGAAGATATTAAAAGCATTAATTTGATAAAGCAGGGCTTTAACAAACTATGGGAATTTAAAATTAATAAAGGCTTATTAATTAATTTATTAATAATTAAATCTGAAGTTTGATCAGGCTATTATACTGTATTGTTTAAAACAACTAGTAGCATGTGCTGTTAGGAGCTCCTATAAACATTTTGCATGACAAACACGTGTAGCCTACTTTAAAGACACTTGCTGAAGGAAAAACATATTTTACACATTTAACTGATGTTGTGAAGTTTTCTTAGTAATATGTGTAGGTCAGCTCCCAGCAGAAAAAATAACAATAATATATATGAAAGGTTAGTCAAGATAAAGACTTAATTGCCACATAACTTTCACGGGGTAACTTTTTTTTAATGTACGTATTTACTCAAATTAAAGGTATGAAAGCCCATGACTGCCAGAAAAGGGAAACCAGTTAGGAACAAAAAATTATTATCTCATTAATGTCACTAGCTAAGTCAACATTAATGAGATAATTAGACAGATGTTGAGTTGCACATTATTTAATCATTTTGATCAGTGAGTTTCAACTAATTTTATCTGATATTTTAGAACATAAAATACTAATAGTTATAACCTATATTTGACCTGCTAGTGTTTTTGGTATTTCCTGGGCTTGAATCTGGTTTTGTGTTGTATCAGGGCTCTCACTGTTTTTAGTGTTGTCTTTGCTGGTCTTGTGTTAAAAATGTGTCTGAAAATATGTAATTTATTCGAGACTTCCACGACCTTAACTGGCACTGAATCAATTCCTCCAGAATGTTTTTAAATCTGTGTTTTACTGTGAATTCAAACTCGATACTATTTTTTTATTATTATGTCAGTAAAATTACAAAAATCTTCCTAAAAGCTGCATGCTGGTGTTCCTCTGTACCGTCTTGGTATCTTTGCTTTGATCAGGTGCTTTGTTCTGATTTTTCTTCCGCTTGGTTTCTTCTTTGTTCTGTTTTAAAGTGCATAATTTTCCTACAGCTTCTGTGATAATAAGTATGTGATAGTTTGTCAGATGTTTGCAAATCTAGCATTAAGAAGAGTCTGGGGGTGGACTGATTATTGGTTTCCTGATACATTAATATACAGCAGCACAACTCAGACTGTTTGTCCATTATGCAGAAATCCCATCTGAATTTATAGAACAATTTAAAAAAACTTTCTTTCATCTATTTTGTGAATATGGATTTACTTTGAAAACTTCTCAAACATCTGAGCTTCCTGTTAGGCCACCAAATCTCCTCTGATGGTTCTCGTATGTCTGTGTTGGAGTTATCTTGACAAAAGTCACAATAATATAATCAAAATACAAAATATGTCAGTTTATCTGCTGTTGTTTCTGCCACAGTAACTTGCACTTGATATCAATTTCTGGAGGTCTGTGATAGTTTTTATGTACTTTTGAAAACAGAACTAGTACTTATCTGATCCTTTTGTTGTTCTCTTTTCACAAAATTAAAATGTAAAAGTGAAAAGGCATATTTTGTTTTATCAGTGATATCCTGAATCCGTCCATCCTTAGCACAGTCCTGACAAACGTTAGCTCCCAGTAGGTATCTCCATCCTGCATGTTAGGTTTAGAGGAATAGTGACTTTGCATGAAATTAGAAGAGTAGATGTAGCCGCCGTAGCAGCTTCAGCCAAGCTGTAGCATGAGCGCTAAAATCCAATTCTTCCATTAGCTGATGCAGACTGTGTTATTAGCCAATTGTTTTTATGGTGGATTTTAGTTTCATCTGGGTTTAACCAAGCTGAGCATGAACACTGGAACCATGGGAGCACCTTAACATGTACATGATGGTTTACATTAAGTTTATGTGGCACACAGCTAAAGACATTGTCACTGAACTAGTTTAACTTATAGAACTACAAACAGTTTAACGCAACATGTTTTCCTGCTGGTTTCTAACTGGTGTTGTGTCGCGCAGCTGTGTCTAATGGAAATAGCAGTTTATTATTATAGTTATCTATCAGTAGCAGCTAGTTCAGCCTAATTTAGCACAAGTCCGTGTAGCTGCTGAAATACTGGCATGTTTTATTAGCTAAGTGATATTTTTGTTGTTATTAGCCACTGCAGGCATTACACTAGGTTCTTCTAGTACTGACAGGCATTGTTGTAGTTTTTTGGTGTTTATAAAATTAGCTTAGCCTAGCTTAACATATGTTAGCCAGCATAACTAAAGATAGTATGCTAAATGTTTTTCCATATTTTGGGATTTATTTGGTAGTTAGCAATAGATTTATTCAACATCATGCTAGTTGGTATAAAAATGAATGTTATGGTTTGTTGTTTTGTTTAGTTTTATTTTGTTTTGGGGGTGGGACAAGTGTTCATATGTTTAAACGTGATTAACCAAGCTCAGCGTTGATTAGGATGTTAAACACATAGGGGGAAACTGCCAATGAGCTTTAAAAAAGAAAATACAGAAGACACTGACAGCTGTCAGTTTGCCCCTGAGTTCCAGCCTTTTTGCAAAGCTAGGTTCATCCTGGATGTGTACTTAGACCACGGTGAAACTGAACCATCAGAAAAGATTTAAAAATGTCTGACTGTTTAAACTCCTCAGATTTCACTGCTGATTGTGCGTCAGGTGTTACTGTCAAGTATCAGGTGTGCTGTATGAACTCTGCTTCTACTTTGGCGTCCTGAATCTGAGCCGCAAAAAAGTGGAACATCACTGTCATCTGGCTGCTGTTTCTCTTCTTTGTTTTTGATCTCTGTTCTTGATGTTTTTGCACCATGATAACATCTGTCTGGGACTGTATTTTATGTTTGTTAAATGATCTAATACAAATAAAGATAGTTTTCCTTGTCTTTCATGTGTTCAGCATTATGGTATATTTTCAGAATTACTGGTAAAAACAACCTTGAGACATTACATGCACCTGTTTCAACCAAGCAATTATCTATTCAACCAATCACATGGCAGCAACTTATTGCTTTTAGGTATGTAGACATCGTGACAATGACCTGCTGAAGTGCTTGGTTGTTGGTGCTAGAGAGGCTGGTCTAAACTTGAAGCAACTGGGCTCCAGCAGCAGAAGACCTCACATGTACCACTTTTGTTCACTAATAACAGTAGGCTACAGAGAGGCTACAGTTTACACAGACTCACAAAAACTGGACAACAGAAGACAAAAAAACGTTTCCTGGTCTGATGATGATTCCTGCTAGTACAATCAGATGGTAAGTTTAGAGTTTGATGAAAACAGCCATTATGAAGTCATTTATCAATCCTGCCTTATACCAGTATTTCAGGCTGCTGGTGGTGTGATGGTGTGAAGGATATTTTATTGACCCGCTTTTGTCACCTGAGCAACACAGTTTACAGTTTAAATACAGCATCGTAGCTGAGTATTGTTGCTGACCATGTCCATCCCTTTATGGCCATAGTATACCATGTTCTAATGCTCTATCTACTCTGTCATCTGATGCTGTGTCAGTTTCTGCTGTGAAACCTTGTGTCACCATCATAGTTGTGGCAGCTGTGTGGTGGATCAAACCAAACCAAACCAAACCAAAAGGTCCCATTAGAGCCAGAAAAGACCACAAAACCAGGAATGATTTAGGGCGGGGCTACCTAGTGGTCAAAAAGTTGCTTCATGGTGACATCATGATGGCTACTTCCATCGTCTTTATTCAGTTCATGGTGAAGGGGAAAAAAAGAGTAGGAATCAGGAGTGAAGTCATGACCGTAATAAGTGGTGATAACTCTGGTAAACTGTCTGCCCTGAGAGGATGATGAGTGTATCATGGCGGCACTCGCTGTTAAATTTAGTTTGGCTCCATATTTACACTTTAGATGTGAGCTGCTGTTTTCCTCTCGTGATATCTGAGCTGGACGCAGATATTTTCAGTCTCACGGTGAGTCTGTATTCCTGTCTTGTGTTTTTATAGTAAGTCTCTAAACGTGACACACAGGAAATATGCCTGATGCCACACATTATAACTCAAAACACTACTTTCATGTTTTCACACACATGTTCAACGAGCCCACGATTCCACAGCATGAATGCAGTGAGCCACTGTGCCACTTGTCACTTTTTAATCCACTCAACCCACTAGAATCATCACTGTGGACATTTTTTGTTTATAAAGACTATAGACTATGTACAGCCACAGTGAGCACATTTTAGGCTGATGTTCAACACAGTTGGAATAAAACCAGCAGCTCTTATAAAGCTGTAACTGCACACATCTGTATGTGATTATTGCAGAGCTGATCTTGGGTTTCACTCTGGGTCCAGTTCCGCTTGTTTCACGTAGAAGCAGACTGTGCTCAGCAGGGGGCGCTGCTGTTTACGTCAATACATTTCTTCAGTTTGTTTTATTCTTCAAAAACGCAGCATGGAATTTTTCTTCCTCTCTCGCTTGCTTCAGTTTGCCGCGCCTCCATTTGGCAGCCAATGGAATTGCAAGAAGCAGCAACACCTCATTCAATTAACTGTAAACACCTAACCTCCATTGTAGTTACCATTAATTGTCATTAATCATTATCACAGAGCCTATTGTATTTTCAGATATGATATGTATTTCCAAACTGAAGTAAACTTTGATGTTTTTTATTTATGCTTTGTTGTTTAAATATCATGCAGTGATTTGATTCGCTGTCTGATGGTGATGTCATGTCCCTCCTCAGGGTGTCTCTCCAGGTTTGAGGACTCTAAAAATACCCGGAGGTGTCAGAGCGGCTGTGGAGCCCCGGGTCCGGCTGTCGGGGTGGGGTAGATGGGGGTGTCCTGGTTGGGGGTGTCCAGCGTGTCTCCACCCCCCTGTTCCGCGCCGACCAATGATCTGCGGTCTCGGTGTCCTGCGGCTCGGAGGATGCCCGGGCCGCAGTAGTATATGGTCATGGCAGGGGCATTCCTGGGAGTCCTGCGCAGTGACGCCGAGCCTTTAAACCTCGCTTCACGCTCCCGCAGCTGCACAGCCCCACTCTGTCCACGACGCCACCCGCGTGTGACCACAGCCAAGCCAGCCGGAGGACAAAAGCAGACTATTCTTCACTCTTCCTCCCGAGCCTCCTCTTTCTCTGAGAGTGTGAGCCACAGGAGTGACCTCGGGTCTGCATGCGCGCCTCTTTACGCACAGCTCCGTGAAGCTCCCTCCCCGCGCGCTGGGCACTGCCCCTCCGCTTCCACTGCCCCGTTTCTCTTTTTTTTCTGCCTTTCCTTCTCTTCCCACTGCGCTCGGTTCTATAAAAGGCATGTCCATGATGAGCAACAACAGCTACTTGGAGCCCCAGCAGTTCTACCAGAGCACCGCGGACATCGGCGAGGAGGAGGAGGAGGAGATGCCGGCCACCGAGAAGGACCTAGCCGAGGACGCCCCGTGGAAGAAGATCCAGCAGAACACCTTCACTAGGTGGTGCAACGAGCACCTGAAGGTGATCAACAAACGCATCAACGACCTACAGAAGGACCTAAGCGATGGGCTAAAGTTAATAGGGCTGCTGGAGGTGCTAAGCCAGAAAAAGATGTACCGGAAGTACCACAGCAGACCCAACTTCAGGCAGATGAAGCTGGAGAACGTGTCCGTGGCGCTGGAGTTCCTGGAAAGGGAGCACATCAAATTGGTCTCCATCGGTGAGTGCGTAAAACCGAGACAGAGGCGCGTTTGGAGAGTTTTTACGCAAATTTTACGCACGGTGTGTATTTGTATGTGTGTGTGTGAGAGAGAGAGAGACCTGGAAACAGTCAGCCCAACTGCTGGTTTCTTTCATAAAAGGGGTTTTTACAAAGGTAATCCAGGTGTTCACAGCTGTTCAGTGCGTACAGTTTCATCAGTGGATTCATTCAAAGAGTTTCTTATTTTTAAGGATAAAAAGTCAGAATTATTAAAGCCTGCTTTTAAATTTCACCCAAGTACAGAGTATGTGATTTTTGCAAAAGGTCTCGGGAGGGCTCAAAGAAACTTGTTGAAACTTGAACCCTTCAAGAAATCCAAAAGTGTTTGGAACCCTCCAGAAGGACGTAAATCGGACTGCAGATGTCTTGGAGTGGATGTGAATGATGAGTGGCCAAGGTGTTGCAGGGTTTTATAAATCCTGAAGAAGTACAACTTTACTGCTCAGTCTGCAGACATGAAGTCCATGCTACTTAGTACAGCATTAAAAAACTAGTATAGATGAAGTTAAATGCACTAATCTGACTAAAGGACAGTATTTGCAGACACAGTGTGTTTGTGTTGCTGAATTCATTGTGCAGTGGTGTGTTGGAGTCTGTGTGCCATGGTTTTCAGTGTTTATATGAAGGTTTAGTTGTTAACAGACTCCTGTTGAGAGTAATTGTTCCCACTTCAGTCTGTCTGTAACTGTGCAGGACACAAAGACTAAGCAGGCTTACCTTCATTAAATGAAACATAGGTAGTAACAGTAATAATAACTTTGTTCATATAGCATGATGTAAAAAAAAATCAAAGACAGATGATCAAAAACATAAATAGCAAAATCAAAGGGAGACCCTGAAATAAAAGACGATAAATGAGAGAGAGGAAAAATCCATACACTGAAGAAAAAATCACAGCCAACAATTCTTCTTACATTCAATATCAGGATTAAACTGAGTTTAGACTGAGCTTGTCACAGTAACCGTCAGCTGGAAATCAATGCTTTAATTAAACAAAATCACTTTTTGTAATTATGTCACATTTATTATAACTTCAGGAAAAACATGTTTCATTTTCATTCATTGAGCAGTTTTCAGTTTCGGGCTTTTGAATGTTTCTTGTATCAGATTAACAGAAAATACCCAGCTGTGTATTTAACTTGTGGAAATCTGTCATATATTCATGGAAATAATATTAAAATATTTAAAGAAAAATACTGACATCACTAACAAGACATGGTGGTTAAGGCTAAAGGTGAAAGTTTTCCTCTGTCCAGCTGTGCGCTCAGCTCTGGAGATAAGTTTGTTTTCATGTGTTGTAGTTTTACTTTTGTTGAGGGTCTAACAGGACAAACTGAAGCTTGAGCTGCTGTTGTGAGTCTGCAGCTGATGGGGGGGCTGTTGGGGGGCTGCGAGGCCTGGAGGGCGCAGTTACTTGTTGGGGTTTTATGGGGTGGAGGGGGTGGAGGAGGTGGAGGAGCAGTGTGAGTAGGAGTTGATTGATAGCAGCACAGCTGAGCTCTGCTGTCCCTCAGCCAACAGCTGCTGAAAATAGACCCAGAGAATGCAGGGCCTCGCTAACCTGCTTAGGGGCCCGGGGGCAGAGACATGCTGAGGGCTCCTCAGGACCCCCTTATGCAGGGCAACATTTAATTAAACTTTGTTAATAAAATGCATATGCTTTTCTATTATTTTATAATAATTTTATATAGATAGATAGATAGATAGATAGATAGATAGATAGATAGATAGATAGATATAGATATATAATTATATATAAAAGGTCATTATAACCAACCACAGCTGACAGGCTTCATAAGAGGCCTGGCCTGGAGACAGCCACTTAATAATGTTTTAGCACTAGTAGTGGGGCCAACAGGAACTCATCATTGGTTAGCTAATATATGTGAGTTGCTTGTTGTGTCTGATACACAGGTATTTGATGTGTGACAGGATGTGATCTGTAACCTGATTGGCTTGTTTCCAAACCTGAGGGGTGGGTGTATAAATGGTTAATGTGGTGTTTGTGTAGCTGAGGCTGCTGAGCTGAACTGCGCGTTTTCTCTAACCTGGATTCTTTCAGCCAAACTCCATTCAAATATCGGCTAATTTTACCTCCATGCCTCTCTGGCTGTGTCTCTGTAATAGTTGCCATGTGTTGCAGCAGTCAGCACACAGGAATGTTAAACTAAGGCCAGGACACCCCGCCCCTCCCTCCCCTCATAGTAACTCACTACACGCTGCTGATTTCTGAGCCGTGTTTCACATTAACTTCCTGTTACAGCTGAGGATATCCTACCTGACTGTGAGGTCACAGGTTAGACTGTACCTGTGCAGCGTTTATGTGAAAACTGTGATACCGAGTCTGTGTGTGGCAACAATTCAGAGGTCAAAGGTCGGGTGGAATAGGAGACGAAGAGAGGTTCAATGTGGAGATGGTCATTTGTGGGAGAGGAAGTGTGAGTGTGGTATCGCCTCTCTTTTTAGGACGTACTGGGAGCTTCACTTTGTCACACTGTCGGCTTCATTAAGACCAAAATAACGAAGTCGAGTCTGAGCCTTTCTTGTGTGGGGGTGACGTCCTGCTGTCCTGAACCTTCAACCAGGATATAATAGTGAGAGTAAAAAGTCATACTAAAGAAAAACTCAAAGCTCCCAGCGGGACTCGAACCATGACCTCCAAAGAAGGGCTCCTTCCAAGCTCCTGATGAGGACGTCACAGGCTGTTATATAAGACACCCTCGTACTGTCCTGATCCTCCCTGCTGAACACTTCCTGTCAGGCACCGGCAAACACGAAACTAATGAGGAGGCTGTGGTCACGCCCCGTTTGGACTTTTATGTTTGCACTTTTTTTCTTTTGTTATGAGCTTGTTGGGTTTAGATGGTTTAATCTGCACCAGTAACCCACCTCTTTGAAGCTGTGGTGTGTTTGCACCTTCCTTCTCTCAGAGCTCCTGGAAACCTCAGAATCAATCTGTTATGAGTCAGCGGGACAGCTTTCATTAACGATGGCTCAGCATCTCTAAGTATCACTGAGGCAGCGTGACACCAGCTGGATGCTGGAAACTACATCAAGGGTCCAGCTTAACCAGATTAAAGTGAGCTTGTTTGGTCATTTCCAGATGTGGGGGCGTATTTAAGCCACTGTTGGAGACAGATGTTTCAGTGCTGGGCGCCTACATGCTAGTTGGTCTTTGTTCCCTCTGAGCCTCACTGGGTATTTGTGTGTGTGTGTGTGTGTGTGTGTGTCTGTGTGTGTGTGTGTGTGTGTGTGTCTGTGTGTGTGTGTGTGGTGCTGGTGAGAGGAGGAGGAGGAAGAGTAGGAG